CACCCTAAAAAAGCGGCTCGGAGACATCTGAAGCCCGTAATCAAAACATAAGACCTTCAAAATTTCAGGTCGGTTCAAAGGTTACCCTCGGAAAAATTATAGTCTAAAAGTATTTAAACAAGCATTTTTGGGAGAGTTTTCGATCATTCAGAGCCCTCACAAGCTTCAAACAAAACTTGTATCGAGAACAAGTCTTGTTCAGACCTCCGAAAAACAACTTATTACTACATTTTATTCCGTGCTAAGGCATTTGAAATCTTAGCAATTGTAAAAAGGATGCTAAAGGTAATAGACTTGAAATTTGCCAAAAGGGAAAAAACTTTATATATATACATTCCAGAATGTCTTTACAAAGGCCAATGAAAACGGCCTCAACAAAATAAATGTACAAGGTACAAAAATAAAGACAAAAATTCCTAAGGCACCTATGCTCGATCTTCACCAGAACTCGCCTCGTTACCAGAGCCGTCAGGGCCTTCTTCACCTTTGGGTTCATCGGAGCCCTCGAAGCCTTCATCATCCTCGGGATCAACCAGCATCTTGGGCTTGACCTTTAGTCTTTTCGCCTCCTCGATCTCGGCAGATAGGTCAAAGCCTCGGGTATGGGTCTCTTCGAGGGTCTCCCTTCGATACAACCACTTCATGTACTCAACAGTGGTTTTCAGACAGGCCTCGAATGCCTCGACATCGGCCCTATACTGGGCTACCATCTCTTCAGCATCGGCGGAGGTTGTGCACATCTGAGCCTTTGCAGCTTCACATTCACTATCGAGGGCATCCCGCTCTGTCAGGGCCGAGTTCAGTTGAGCTTGGAGTTCCTCATTCAGCTGGGCTCGCATATTAGCCTTATCTTTTGTTACTGGGAATTGAACTTCTACCGATGCCAGCTGTGTCTGGGCGGTCTCTTTCTCTGAAGCCAGTCGGTCCATTTTTCCCTTCTAAAAATCGGCCATGGCTTGGACCTCTTTCATTTCAGCTCGGAGTTGGTCGATCCAGTCAATCTTTTGCTGAACCTGCGAGGTTTGGTCGTTGTTCTCCATGGCTAAGTCCTCATTGCTAACATTGAAAACCTTTACCTTTTTGACTAACTCGGCATGCTCTTTCTGAGCCGCATCCAGCTCGGCCTGGAGATTCTTGACGACCCCTTCATGTTGCTCGCTGAGAAGCTTATACGTGTCTCTTTTCTCAGTAAGCTCCTTGATCTCGGCCTCGAGCTGGCTAACCTCGGTCGGTACAGAAAAAAGCTTTCGTGATAGAGCATCGAGGCCTGCAAAAGGGTAAAAGAAAGAAGACGTGAGAAATATCAAGGATTAAATCAAAGGTCGAAAGATCGTAATGATACCTAACCCGATTCAGTGCCTACTGCGCCTCGTTGAACATGCACGATACGTCTACCTCGTTCATTTTCGCCTGGTCTTCTTCGGTCACCAGGCATCGAAGGTGGCTTGCTACTCCCATTGGAGCGGAAAGAACCTGGGCATCCTCCGGGATAGTGATGACTATCGAACTCTTGCGGCCGGGATCTATGCTCGGGGCAGGGAATTGGTTGACTAACTTTGGGCTCAAATTCAGCCCGCCGACTTCTGAAGATGACCCCTTTCTCGGCACCTCCAGGTCACTCAGCCCCAAAAAAATTCCTCCAAAACGGACGAGTCCACATCGTCAAAAAAGGAACGAAGGGGATCGTCCGTGCCATGAGTCCCTTCGTTAGACCTCTCCTTTCCCGCTCGGGCCTCCTCGAGCATGGACTCGGTATAGGAAGGCGGCCTTGAAATCTCTATTACACCTACTGCTTCCTTCGAGGCGTGGCCGACATTCTGGGAAGTCTCAGCCCCGGTCTCCTCATCTACCCCCCAGGCCTGCGGGGGATCAGCCTCATAGATCTTCTCTTCACTAGCTGCTCGCTCCTAGGGGGATGTTGGCCCGTGGGCCACGAAAAAATCATCTTCTTTAGGCTTATCCCTGAGCCGATAAAGCGAATCCGAGTCGGGCGCTCGAGAGCTAGAACTTTCCTTTGGCTTACGGGCCAACCTTTTCTTTGGCTTCTTCCTTTCTGAGCTCGGGGAGCCCGGAGCCTTCCTTTTATACTTTTCTCCTGATGTAGCCCCAAGCTGCCCCAAAATGGAGGGGTCAATGGACGAATCCCCGTCCCCTACTAAACGCCTAAGCTCAATGGTCCTAGGCAAACCTGCAAAAGGAAAAGTGAAGAAAATAGGGCAAGTATAATGCGAATGAGAGAGCCAGATGATACCTATTCGAGGAAGGGTCTTACCATGAGAACGGGCCTCCCAACGGCCCCTCGAGAGCTTGCACCATGAGCGGTCGGAAAAAGGCATCTATGAACAAAATGTCCTCGATCCACTCCTTGAGCTATGGGATCGCATTTGGGACTCGAGCGACGACTGCACCACCACAAATACCAGTAAGAAAAGAGGAGATGCAGGCAAAATGTCGTTCAAGGGGAAACTATACTTACGAGATGCGTTCCACTTCTCGGGAAACTACATGAGTTCAGGGGGAAATAAGTCTTCGATCTTCACCCGAACGAAACGTCCCTGCCAGCCCCAGTTCCGATTCTCATCAATGCTCGAGAATGGGGCTTTGCTAGCCCAGCGTGTGAGCTTTATTAGTCCTCCTCGGAAGATTCGGGGACTGTATAGCCGGAGAAGGTGATCGATGGTGAACCGACGTGACTCGGTCTTGTTCACGAAATAACGAAGGGGGATCACGCTCTTCCACAGTGACAGGTGGATTTGACCGACGCATACGTCGTACCTCTTGTAGAAATCAAAGATAACTGGATCCACCGGGCCCAATGTAAAGGGATAAGTGTAAACACTTAGATAACCCTCCACGTAGGTAGTGATGGCGTCCCCACGCTCGGGGAGTACTACGTCCTTAGCCGCCCAGTTGCAGTCTTCTCGGACCGCGGGGAGGACATTTTCGGTAATAGAGCATATATATCTTGATACTCTCTTACACCGACCCTGCACCGACAAGGGCTTCTCAACCTTAAAGTCATCGGTAACCGAACAACCCCCAGGAACGAATATTTTCAAAGGAGGCTCGGCAGCCGGTTCACCGGTACCCGCATCAGGAGAGGACCTCTCGAGGACGACCACATCGGGAGTAGTCTCGTCGATTTCAGCAGTCGGTTGTGAAGAAGAAGCAACTTTTTGGAGAACAGATTTGGAAGTTTTAGCCATTGTTATCTGGAAAAAGCTTAAAAAATATGAAGAGAGGTTGAAAGGTCAACTACGCTGATTTGGGTAGAAAATAAGTAAAAACTTGCAATATACTGAGAAGTTTTAAAGAATAGAGGTGAAAATATTAGAGTGCGAAGAAGGGTAGTGATATCCTGAAAACTCGAAGGTAGAAGCTTGGTCAAAAGGAAAAAATAATTACGAAGGAGGAAAGTATTTATAGAGGTTTCGTGCCGTTTCGTATTCAGGGACGACCTTCTGATGGCTGGCGCGTGTTTGAAGTCATAATAACACGACTGACGGGACGTTTCAGATTCTTTGTCGTTTCTGTCACGGCATATTGAAGAAGGAATCGAAGTGCATATGTTGTTTCTCGTCGTTTTCGTAAACTTACTCTTCGAGAAATGAGGGGACTATCTATATACGGGTGAAACCGAGCCCTTTGGACGCCTCATTTTTCGATGAAATAAACGGAGCAGAGAGGTGACTGTAAAGAACCGGAGTCGGGGCAAGGAGCCCCTCGAGTCGGGATCCGGGCAATACACCTGCCCTCGGAAGAATCGGGGCCACGTCCCCCAGGTTCGATTCGAACCCCAAAACTTTGGAGAGAACTACCAGATAATCTAGCACGACAAACAAAGTGTCGTGACATCCGTTCTCAGCCGGATATTACGTCATGAATCTCGGCACGTATCGGCAGAAAATCAGTAATTAGTAAAACGGAAGATTTTTACCTCTTTTGGAATTGTACTTAGGGTAAAACTCCCCCACTATACAAAGGGGAGTCTAACTATTCATTAGGCATCATTGTAATACGCATATCGAGGCAATATACTCTTATTTTCTCTGTTATTCAAAGTTCTTACTTTTGTTCATCAATTCTTCATTATTGTGAACCCGAGATCGAAGGCAGACATTTCATTAAAGTTGTTACTGAGTTCGGGATCACTCCCCTTAATTGGTTTGACAATTTATTACGTCCTTTATCTGCTTAATCTAACGTAATTTATCATTTGTATTGAATTAATTCTCGTATTTTTAAAATCATATATAAATTTAATTGTTATCCGCTTTGAAGGGTAAACAGTATACATACTAATTCATTATAATGTCAACCAGATCTAATGATTCACAACATGACTATCCCACTTTCTTTACATAATTCAATAACCCGAAGATTTCACATATTCAATACTACTTTGTTTACTCTACTACCCAGTTGAGATGATTTTGCTTTGTTTTTCACCGAAGTACGGAAAGAAGAGTCTCAAGGTGAAGTTTGTTGCCAGAGAATGGTTTACTAAGGTCCCAACTTCAGTCAAAAATGTCTGAAATTGGCCTTGGCAAGCCAGGTTAAACTTCAGATAAAAATTTCTGAAGTATGATTTAGACGAATTTTTATTATTTCAGTCCTGTATGTTTAAAGTATATTTTCAAAATGGGTAAATTTATAAAAAGTAAATATACAATACGGGTATAACTTCAGTGGAGACCCCAAAATAAGGTATATCTGCACTTGTCCCTAGATCTAAGAATGAATTAATCCCATGCAAATTGCATAATTTGAACAGTCAAAACGCACAAATGGAGCAACCATGAAACAAGCTAAACGAACAATGGATATGTATAATTCCGTTTTTTTAAAATTTATTTTCAATAAATTTTGAATAAAACATTCATTACTCATATTAATTTTGATATGGCCACGTCAAAACAAATAAAAGATCAATGTCACACAAGTAACAGATATTATCTCAAGGATTACTAAGAATATTTCTAGAAAAGAAAAATGCCAATTTGATTTATAATTCCCTAACAGGACGGGCAAATTAAATACAACATCATCAGTAGAGTTGTATTAAGAGAACAACAATTAACTAAAAAAACCAAGAAAAGCCCAAGCAGAAAGGAAACAACAAATTAGCCAGTGTGGATGTGAACTCCCATAGCAATAAGGAAGACGGTAATGAGTCCAAAATAGAGGATTGTATGGACAAGAATGGAGAGGCCACTTGTGTGCATGTTCCCAAACTCCACAACTCTGTGCCTACCAGGTAACTGAAACAGTAGCCCTGGACTCAACAGCACAAACAGCACCACTGCTATCAACACTGGCCCCCAATCCGACATCTCTCTCTCTCTCTCTCTCTCTCTCTCTCTCTCTCTCTCTCTCTCTCTCTACGTGTAGGTGTGTACTCTGCTGTTGGCCTATATTTTGTTGTATATATAGTTCGATTGATGAGTAAGCTTTCTTTCATTTTTAACACAGGAAGTATTGCATTAAGAAAGGAATCAAAACAAGTGGTGGTGTTTAGATTTGTAGAAAGAGAGTTTGATTCGCCAGTTCACACATGCCCCTTCAACTTTCTTCCTTATAATAATGGTTATGGTATTCATATACTGATCAAATGAAGCATAATCCATATACTAGATTCATATATAGTTGGTATAGGCAAATTTTTTCTCCAAATAGCTGCCCCTTAATATGTGGTTTCCATTCAATACTTTTGTATAATTGTTACTATCCACTTTGGCCTGATGGAATTGTTTACTCAAAGACACCCTATGACGAATGGATTTCCTATTTCTGATATATTTCATGAATTCCTTGTTCATATATAATGTAGGACATTATTGACATCACTCTCAACTGAGACTAATTATGTTTATAGTTTACAGTAGTTGATCGTACTAACTAGTTTGAATTGAAACAAAGTTGTTATTGTTGTTGTTATAGTCATGTGGTAATGACATTATTGTTGATTCGTCTCATTTTATATGTTATCAATTGTCGTATTTCATTTATATGTGCTCTAACTTTTATTGATGCTTCTGTATGGTAAGAAATATGAATGTATTGACAAATTTGAAGGTTGGAGGTGGTTCGTCTCATTAATGCATGTCATCATATGTTATCTTCAATGTAACACAACGGCTAATCCCACTTCTGTATGGTAAGAATTATGATAGAGGCTTTGCTAATAGATATAAGATACCTTCGCACATAAAATGTTAGTTGGAACAATAATTTAAAGAAGAAACTAAGCTAAATATTTTTACACTTGTTAATATGTTGAAAAATGGTTATGTACATTCAAAACGTCAAAACGGCAAAAAAGAAAAAAGAATTATAGTGGATTATTTGTCACCAAAGTAGTTCACTCATAATTTATTTCGATAGTATCGATCGCTATTTTTGTAACTAAAAGATAAAATTCGTAGCTTATATAGAGAAGACTTGGGCATAAGTCGTGTTTACAGTTTATAAGGAAGAATATGGAAAAACATCCGTGTAACAAAATGATACAATTATGTGTATAATTTAAATTAATGTGTCTATCCTAAATTTAAGCATGGTCGTTATTATATCGCTCAAATCGATTCTACAGATATTGGAAGTTGATAGTTAATGGGGACGGACAGCTAGCGGATGCTGAAGCAAGCCCAACAAGTACGTGGCAGAATCACGTGAAAGGAAATGTCGCTGTTGCCTTCGTTTTTGTGCTATCCCTTTTTGTTTCTGCTATCTTGACAGTGACGCCATCAAAATTAAATTGCCTACATTTTACTTATATTAATACTCTTTACCTATTAATCTTCAATATTTTATGCAAAAGAATAAAAGGGGGCTGGGCTGTTGCTGAGATAAATTGCTGTCCGATTCGATTTGCTCGCAATACCAATGGCTTAAAGGAAAATTTTTAGGGCGGCAATGGTTGAAAGTGTTGGAATGGTGAGAAAAGAGAACAGTTGCACGTATTGCTTTTTTACCTTGAGATTTGAATTGAAGTAATACACACTCCCTCTATCAAGATACAGGAAAATACAGATCTGAGGTGCTCATAATGAGCAACAATAGTGATTTTAGAAGCTTCCGATAAAAAAAGGGAAAAGGGCTTGATTTACCCCCTCTACTTTCAAAATTAATACTATATTGTCCCCTGTTATACTATGAACACATTTAAGTCCCTACCATTAGAAAAGTAGCCATATTTATCTCTATTTTTGACAGAATTCCACACCAGCAATTAAAATTCCACCTGGAATGCCACGGAGGAAATAATTGACCCAAACCCCTTAAGATAACCGATAACCTGCAACCCGAACCCGAACCCGAATTAAATTAGAAAGAAGGTCATTTTCTTGGCTCTTTTGAGAGCAAAATGGCGATTAGGTTGTCCGCAAATAAAATCCTTCTTCCCGATTAGGCTTTTGTCGTCGTTGGTGTTCTTACCCTTCTTGCAAATCACTTCTCTCTTTACATAAAGTGGGATTTCTCTTACCAACAATTCCTTTTGAATCAAAACAACACTCAATCAATGAAAAAAATGCAACAAAAAGAAAAAAGAAAAAAAAGTGCAAAATCCCCATAAAAATTTCTCCTTTTTAGGTATACCTCACGAAACAAAGAGGCCATGTATTCAACAAACCTCATCTGCTATTGGCCCACTCCTATTTTTGTATTCTAGATATGTTTTCACTCTTAAACTGCTATAAATAACGAATCAACGCAACCTCAAATAAGAATTTGCTAGTTTGGAGTAACAACTATGCAGAGCTTATAGTAAATTTAAAGGCTATAAATGCAGGAATTTATAGGAATTGCTAAAATTAACAGAAGGAGAGTGTACAAAGGAAAGATCTAAAGAATAACCTGCTTTTGGGAGAGGGGTTGTGGGTAAAGATGCAGTCAAAGGTTTCAGATTCAGGAATTTGGGTTTCAAATCTGTGAGGAAGACTAGTGGAGAAGATGGGTATAAGATGAGCCAGTTTGGAGTTCTTCGGCGATGCACAAGCAGCAAGATTTCGGAGTATGGTGGTCTGCGGTGGTGACCATTTCCGTCAACTCCCAATTAGAGAGAGCAATTTGAGATCAGATTTGATAAAACTACTAATGTCCACCGTGGCATTCCAGGTGGAATTGTAATTGTTGTGGAATCCTATTAAAAGTAGAGGTAAATATGGCTACTTTTCTAACGGCGGGGACTTGAATGTGCTGATAGTACAACGGGGATAATATAGTACTATTTTCTAGAGTAGAAGGATAAATCAGACCATTTTTCCTTAAAAAAAAAAGAGAGTAGAAGAGCCCGAGATAGGATAATTTTGGAAAAGAAAGCTTCGCCTTTTTTCATTCATCTGGTAAGTATTTCTATAGGAAAAAGATCCAAATTTATCCTTATACTTTGTAAAAATATCTTGATTTGCCCTTCTTTAGAAGTTTGGTTCAAATATATTCTTGTTGTTAAATTTTTGGGCTACAAATACCCTTATTTGCTAACAGACATATGTTTGAAGCTAATTTATTTCTAATTTTGCTTATTAGCTCCAGAGCTGCACATGGGATATTTTAACCCATACCCATTTAAACCGACTCCATTTGACCCGATTAAGCCATAGCCACTCACTCTCATAAAAAGCGAGAGAGAAGAAAACTCGTGGCCTTTATGGTTTTCCTCACCATTTTGCTACTTTGGCACCACCATTGAACAGTCGCAGAACCCCCACTGTTTTTCAGCTTCGGTGAGACCTCCTTCTTCCACCTTCAAATTTCATCCATATTTTTTCTCACAAAGAAAGCTTAAAAAAATCAAAATAATTCTACCTTCTTGGATATGGCAATGAGTGTAAGGAAAGATAAATGGACACAAGCCAAATAATAAAAAGAAGTTGTTAAGAATCGAACTGAAATAACCAAGCATAATTCACCTCCATTTTGGGTTTAGAGCAGGCACCCAAAGTAAAAAACATAGAAGAAATTTATGACCACAAACAATGAAAATCAATCACATGCAACTAAATTTCTGAAATTAAAAAACAAAATTCCAAACTTTCAACTCAAATAGGAAGAACAAAGGCGACATAATTTCCAAATTCACCTCTTGCACCAATAGTGAACTTTGTGGGAGAAGTAGGTTTCGTAATAGAGATTGCCTTGTAATAGTAGTGGTCGGTACAAAATAATTTATGTGTTGTCCATGGATTTAGATGAATTGAGTTATATTAGCGTTGCATTTTATAAATGCCCTGATTCAACATGAATAAGAGATGAAGAATGTTAGAAAGATAAGTTTGATACATGAGTAATTTTGGTGACAATCAAACTATTAATGAATTGATGTGAGTTTTAAAATTCAAATCAACAAAATTAGAAACAAATTAGCTTCAAACATATGCCCGTTAGCAAATAGGGATACTTTTAGCCCAAAAGTGTAACGGCAAGGGTATACTTGAACCAAACTTCTAATGGAGGATAAATCTAGATATTTTTGGCAAGTACAAGGATAAATTTGGACCCTTTACCAGTTATATGGGAATATATACATAATATGCACACATGTGCATATGAATTGATAACTATCAACAACTGTTGTAACTAACAAACCACTAAGCCAACTAACGGCCCGGCTGAGCTAAGCTAACATAAGTGATAACAAGTATAAGAGGATAAATACAATCTCAATACTTCCCTCAAGTTGGAGGTGAGGTCTCTAGAGCCAACTTGCCCATAATAGATGAATGCTTAATCCCAATGAGAGCCTTGGCTAGAATGTCAGCAAGCCGGATAGTTGTGGAACATGATGGAGGGAATCAAATCTTTTTGAAGTTTATCTCTCACAAAATGACAATCAACCTCTATGTACTGCACACTTTTATGGAATATAAGATTCCTGACAATGTGCAAGGATGATTGACTATCAAATGCACAACAATAAGAGTAAAGAAAGGGACATCCAGCTCTGAAAAGATTTTGCTCCACCATACTAACTCTCCAACCACCTTCCTTAAGGATATATACTCTGCCTCAACTGAGGACAGGGATATAGTTTCCTTTTTTTTGACTTTCAACTCATAGGACTATTCCATAATAATACCAAATAATCACTAACTGACCTTCTGCAATCTGGACACGCGGGCTAGTCAAAGTCACAATAGGCCTTCAATGTGCATCTGGACATAAAAATACCCAGAGTAGGATCTCTCTTCCAATATATCAATAGGTGAAAAGATGCCTGCAAATTAGGTTACTGGGCTCTTTCATAGGCTTACTGATATAATGGACACTAATATCCAACCTTGTGTTTGTTAGAAAGTTTAAATTCCCAACTAGTTTCCTGTAATAAGCTGGATCAGGTAATACAGCTCCCTCCTT